CTTCCTTAACAAAATTTGGTGTACGTGGTTTCTCACATACTAAAGCAAAATCTGGATCAAAGAAGTTTTGTGTATTGTAATAAATTAAAAAACTTGAAAGGAACGTTCGCTTGACTCGGAAAATTTGTCCTATTTGTATTTGTTTTAGCTTTCTCCTTTTCAAGTTTTATATGCCGATTACAATTATAACTCAGGAAGCTTGACCAGCAATCAATGTGCACTTTGAAATGGGCTGCATTGCCATCATCCATTGAAACTAAATATCATGTGTACAGGTGTCTTCTGTTCGAGCAAGCAAGTCAGATGACAAAAGGCTTTCAATATTCACTGGAACAAAAACTCTCCACTTGCGTTGCCAGTCTAGAGAAGACCGAACTGCATGGATCGAGGCACTTCTGGTTGCTAAAGATCAATTCCCAAGAATGCTGTCAAGTAGCGATTTGGAAACTTCTGAAGAGTTTGTTGTCTCAACAGAGAAGCTACGATCACGATTACTACAAGAGGGTCTTGGTGAGGCAGTTGTTAAGGATTGTGAGTCTATTATGCTTCATGAATTTAGTGAGCTGCAGAATCAGTTGAAGGCTCTTCAACTTAAACATATTTTGCTGGTGGACAGGTTGAGACAGCTTGAGGTACTTTACTACTTCGTCATTAAGGGGTTCCTAATTTGCAAGACTGGGAAAGTTTTCCATGTCCCCTCCCCCTTGTTAAATATTTATATTGAACAAAAATGACCAGTCTTTACTTTATATCTTTCTTTCATTATGGCATTGTACTGTCTATTGCGTGCTTTCCATGACATTATCCTTTGTAAGCTTCTCATCTGATATCTGGTAAGCCGGGCTAAGCCGAGTGAATGCAACATTCCTTGTGTTAACTCTACTGTTTCCTAAATCTTGAGTTGTTACATCTTACTAATTTGTAGTTCTGCTTCTGGTCTTGCTGTCTTTGCATTACAAGACTCACTTCAAGCTATTCTCATCTTCATGTGGAGACCATGAGAATTGAGAAACTTCTCTAACTATTTTTGGCAGACTGAAAAGATTGAGTTGGAAACAACTGTGGTTGATGAAACCAAGGAGAGGGATTCATGTTGTGGAGGGAACAGAAGATTCAGTGGTTAGTTAACACTTGTACAACCCATTTTATTCAAATTTGAAAGAAGGCTTTTTTTTTTTTTTTTTTTTTTACAACTCACAATTGTATCATTGAAATTTTTGTGGGAAGTCTCCATTGAATGATAAAATTGTACCCCACTTAGCTGCTCATTCTTTTGAGTCTCAAAATTAAAATTTATCTGTGTTGAAAAACGTATCATCATCTTTGGAGACTTTGCAGATTTTTATTCCATCTTGTCGGAGGGGAGTGCAAGTGATTCTGATGCTGATAATGAAAGCCGAGGTGGAGGAGATATTGAAACAGATGAAGAAGGCATGTATTTTGACACGAATGATTTTATGCCTGCTGAATCATTGAGAAGTGCTTCTTATCGAAGTAGAGAGAATACAGAAAATGCGTGTAGCTCTTTTACAAATGAAAAAGGCTCATTCTTTTCTGATCGTCTGAGGGAAGTTGAGATAGAAATTAAGGCAATTGAATATCCATATGTCAGAAGACGGAATAATTTGCCAGAACCTAAGGAGAGAGAAAAGCCAGTTGGGTTATGGTCAATAATCAAGGATAATATTGGAAAGGATCTGTCTGGAGTCTGCCTTCCAGTTTACTTCAATGAGCCACTATCTTCATTGCAGAAATGCTTTGAAGATTTGGAGTACTCATACTTGGTTGACCGTGCATTGCAATGGGGAAAGCAGGTAACTCTTCAGCTTACTTGTATTTTTTTCCCCTGAAAAATTAGTTTCTTGCATTGCAGAAATCCGGTAGTTAACTTACCGGCTTTGCTTCTTGAAACTCAAATGTTGTCTTTTACATAGCTCTCCAGACTGTATTCTATTCTTGAGCATCAAAATCTATGAAGAAATAGATAGTGCTGTTTCCTTGGTCTGGTCTCCCTCTATATAATAGTAGATGGTTTTGCTGCATCATTTTTATTTTCTTGAACCTTGTTCACATTATATGACAGATTTGATTGCTAGTTTAAATTGCAAATGACAATTTTAACTTCTACAGGGGAATGATTTGATGAGAATATTGAATATAGCAGCTTTTGCTGTTTCTGGCTATGCTTCAACAGAGGGTAGGCAATGCAAACCTTTCAATCCTTTACTCGGGGAGACATACGAGGCTGACTACCCAGATAAAGGTCTACGTTTCTTCTCGGAAAAGGTAGCGCTTTTCTCTCCCAAAGAATTTGATAAATATCATCTTTGACCGTCTGGAATGTATCTTTTCCTCTGCCTTCTACAATGGAGGATCTGGATTGTTCCATGCAAAGTGGACTTCCATTACTGTAATGTCTTGGCACGTAATGAGATATGCAATTGAGTCCTCATGGATGGGCCTCATCTCAGGTTAGTCATCATCCAATGGTTGTTGCTTGTCACTGTGAGGGCAGAGGGTGGAAATTCTGGGCAGATTCCAATCTAAAAGGCAAGTTTTGGGGACGCTCGATTCAGCTTGATCCTGTGGGGATTCTTAGCTTGCAGTTTGAAGATGGTGAGACATTTCAATGGAGCAAGGTCACCACTTCCATATACAATATCATAATTGGTACAATCTATTGTGATCACTATGGTACCATGCGCATCAGGGGTAGCGGTAAATATTCTTGCAAGCTCAAATTCAAGGAGCAGTCTATCATAGACCGTAATCCACATCAGGTGTGCCCCCGCCCTTCTCTCTCTCTCTCTCTCTCTCTCTCTCTCTCTCTCTCTGTCTCTGTGTGTGTGTGTGATGAAGTGGATGCCATTCTATTCCTCTACCTACCAAGGCAGTTAGTTGTCTTTCTTTTAGTTCCCCCCCCCAACCTGCATACAAAAAAGAAAAAAGATGGCTATGGATACAGTAGTGTAAACTGTCATGCAGTCATTGGAAGGGACTTGGTAAATAAAAACTTTGCTTTCTTTTCATCCTATCACATATGTTCAAACTGTCACATGTAGTAATCTATACTTGTAAATTTCGATAGACAAATGTAAAAGAAAGTATTCATCATATGTTCCAATTTCTCTCTGCTATTCTGTCCAACTTCTCTGTTTAATCAAAAGAACCACTGAATTTATTACAGAATTTGTTGTATTCAATGCCATCAAATTCTAGGTTCATGGATTCGTGCAAGACAACAAAACAGGAGAGAAGGTGGCAATGTTATTGGGGAAGTGGGATGAAGCGATGTACTATGTCTTGGGAGACCCCACTATAAAGCCTAAGGGATATGATCCCATGACAGAAGCCATATTGCTGTGGGAGAGGAGCAAATTTGTTACCAAGACAAGATACAATCTTACACCTTTTGCCATATCCTTAAATGAATTGACACCTGGCTTACCAGAGAAGCTTCCTCCAACTGATTCGAGGCTGAGGCCAGATCAACGGCATTTAGAGAATGGAGAGTATGAGCTGGCAAATTCTGAGAAGCTAAGACTTGAACAACTACAAAGACAGGTATGCTCAAAATGTTGTTCTAGTTGCACGCTCATCAAAACAAGTTTATATTCTTCCCATATTCATCTCAACCCCATCAGCAAGTATTTGTTGAGTTCCCTTACTGCTTATTTATTATTCCCAGGCCCCCAAAAAATCTCCAATGATGCACATATCCTACTATTATCTCTTTCTTCTTTTTTTTCCTGGGTAGAAAGGGAATAAAATATTTACGATAAAAACAAAAAATTGACCTGGACGCTCCCAGTTAACAGCTACACTACCACCTAAAAGACGAGATTATGCAACAGGTAGCTGATTACAAACAATCAAACCTTGGTTGGATTTAACTCCTTAGTTTGTAAGAAAGTCAGCACACTTGTTTCCTTCTCTAAAAAAGTGTTGGATCAGCACATCAAATCCTACTATCATCGTTAAACTAGTAGTATATCTACTGCCTTATTTTCTTTTCTGGTCAGCCACTTTCAGGATGAGCTTCTATAAAAGCTCCATTTTTGTACAATAATGAACTTAATATCATCAAATGTTTAAGCTCCATTTTTGTTGCTTTAGGCTTGGACAACTTATTTCATACTCTTTTAAGACTTGGAGGCAGTATTTTATTACCGATTCTTGTGACTAAGTTAATGCCAGACCTACACATGGTGTTTCGATGAGTGGAAAGAGTGTTGGTTGAATCCTATGTTAATTTTCTGCAGGCAAGAAAGCTGCAGGAGAGAGGTTGGCAGCCAAGATGGTTCCAGAAGGATGAGGACGGTTGTTACCACTATGTTGGGGGATATTGGGAAGCAAGGGAGAAACGAAATTGGGAAGGGATCCCCAATGTATTTGGACAGAGAAATGATTTGTCCCCTCATGTAATAGAGTAAGCAGCTGTAATGTTCGACATCCGATGTCTTCCCACATTTGTATTTTCCCTGTGGCCTTGTAGAAACTAGAAGCACAAGTTTTGCAATCAACTGACAGAAACGCTAATGTTGTGCTCTCTTCTCACGGCGAGATGATGTATATGAATGTTTCAGCGCATGTTTCCTATCATTTGGCGCTGAATCTTGGTATGTTTTCTCTCAAAGGCGCTAGGAGGCACGGGATATCCACCTTTTTGCTCTAGTTGAAATTTACAGTATCCCACTTGTGCCCCAGTTACAATAATTCCCTTCAAAAAGAAGATTGTGAATTGGGCTCATTAGGTGCTTCTTCTTTCTGATATGATGCCATAAATGCTTTCGATATCAGCCCTTCCTGTAGCTAGGTGAGAACAAACAGATATTCAAGAGTAGAAGAATGCACTAAATATTTCAAGGATCCCAGTCCGCATGATTACATTAATATCTGTGTTGGAAACAACACTCAAAAGAGTTGCCATGAGAGTTCTTCTTTTTTCCTTTTTATTTTCTTTTAGCAGGAGAGACAAAAAATTCAAGAATCAAGAAGGGTAAAGAAGAATTTAAACTCAGCAACATTTATTAATTCTTAAAATCACGGCCCTAACCACTAGATATCTGATCAAGGTCTCCTCATTTTCTCTTAGTATAATTAATGAGTTACTATAAGGTACATCACTCTTCATTCCTTTGACTAGTTAAATCTAAAACAATTGAGTATAAAAACGATAAATCCACTTTGAATTTAAAAAAAAAAGAAAGTACTACAATATGCAACTACTACTGTTCAATAACCAAGATCTACCAATTGACCCTAAATGAACTGTATAGCTAACACTCTCAAAGTGCAAAACTATAAAGTCGGTCACTTCCAAGCTTTCCTCCCACGAAATTGTTTACCAGAACGCTGCTGTTTTCTCTTTTTCTCTTGTCTTGATCTCGATACCTTTGCTCTCTTGGCAGCAAGAGGCATGGCCTTTTTGTGTTCTTTTTGCCGATTGCTTAAACCCCCAGTCTATCCAAAAAATGAAAGATGAAATGTGAATATAGAAGCAAACTCGAAAATCTCACCCCCATAAGCAATACCAAAACAGCAGAAGGCATACGAGGGAATTTTGGCAAAAGCTTTAATAACTTTAGGACAAAAAAACTTTATAAATCTAGGCTGAAAAGGCATCTTAATTCACTGGTTGACTTTCTAGGGAGAGAAAAAAAGAGAGCCAAAAATCTCCTGGCTATGATTTTCATTCAGAAAAAATGGCACAATGTTGTCCCTTGTTTCATGGTATACTTATAGAGCACCAGCAGTATGCTCACAGACAAAATTCAATGTATTTCCAGTGACATAAGCACAGGCATAATTAACTAAGTAAACAAACTAGCCCAGATAAAAACTAGTACGATGAAAGAAATCTAAAAACCAAGAAGTACCTTTTTCTGTTTGATAGCCGTTCGAGCTTGGTACTTCCCCCTCTCCTCCCTCCCAGCCCTTATCAGTGCTAGCCTTTCTTCCTTGGTCATCTTTTTTCGGATATTAGCCTAAAATAGTCAGCCACATTGCATCAGACAAGGAGTCAGTACCATGGAAAATTAACAGACAGGAAAATCGGAAACTATTTTTCCCAAGCATACTGATAACTTCTCAGTTTTTAGGTGCCAGATAAACGAAGATGCAGAAGTATATGTGACAAACTAAGCATTCAACAGATCTTCACTACAGAAGTTGCAAGTGGCAACCAGGCTTAGCACTGCCTCTGCCTTGTTCAGCTTAGCGAGTACAGCTGAATAAAACTGAGGTTTGAGAAACTTGCAGGCAACTACAGACAGCAACTAGAACCAAAACCATCCTATACAAACTACCCATGAGAAGAAACAGAAATCCAAAACTTACCTCGAGTTTGGCAGCATCAACTCTTTTAGCACTGAGTTGGTCTGTGCTTGGAATCTTAAATCCATGTTGAGCTAATGCAATACTTGCATCCTTTTTGGCCTGATGATTTAGCCAAATACATATATGCAATTACAAAAATTAATTGAGACAATTCATTTCTAACTATTAATTAAAAAAAACACTAGAGAATAGCTACTTTCTGTACAAAATCAAAATCTATAATGAAAATTTGAGTATTAAGACAAGCTTGCTTAAGGATGAAGAGAACCACTAAACCTGTAGCTCTTTTATTCTCTGGAAGTCCTCATTAGATAGAATACCATCATTTGTCTCTGAGGTGCTGCCCTCTCTAGCTCCTGCCAGTTTCTTTAAGGCTCGAAGACTTTGACTGGCAGCATTCAGTTGTTCATTGAAATCAGAAAACTTCCTTTTACCTGCCTTATACCCCCTTTCACCACCACTATCAGTCCTAAAAGTTTCACTAGCAATACTCAAGGGACCACTAGATGCTGCAGGGTCATGCCCATCAGCCTTGCCACTTTCATCGTCATCACTGATAACATCAGTATTATCAGAACTAAAATTAGCATCATCATCTTCAGAATCTTTATTCTTTTCTTGCATACTATCATCTTCACTGGTGGTACCCTGGTCATCAATATCTTGATCATCATTGTCATTGTCATCACCATCAGAAGAACCACTATCACCAGCAACCTCCACTTCACTGGGACCAACATCATCATCTATATCTGAAGAGCTAGTAAATCCATCATCAGTATCAGCCTCAGATTCAGTATTGTCATCTTTCAATAGCTCAAATCCAGGGACATTGGAAGCGACCTTGACTTCACCATATGCTTTAGGCCTGGCCTTGGGATCAGCAGGTCGCCCTCTATCCTTCTTGACCAAAAGTGATGGGCAAACCTGCAGTGATACCGTCAACATTCCCATAGAAAATAAGTACCAGGAAGACAAGTACAAGAATACAATTTTAAATGCATGTGCGTGTATCTATGTGCTTGAGAGAGAGAGAGAAATAATACCTCTCTAAACAAAGTAAGCAGTGATCGAGCAGCCGAAGAAACTGCTTTCTCATGTGATTTCCTATATAACACAAGGTCTTGCAGCAAATCTTCTGTCATCAACTACAAATAAAAGAAAAAGGATAAAAGTTCCAGAAAAATGGGCATCAACTTGAATAAGAGATAGGACGTTATCTTAGCTTGGCATTAAAAAGTTGGGGCATGACATCAATTTTGGAGTCAAACTAAATACCATAAAACGCAGAATGATGCTAATATTTCTTTGACATCATTAATAAATTGTACCAGAGGCATGCGCAGACATATTTCCCGTACAACATTCAGTCCAACAGAAATGGCCTAACATGAGAGGTAAAAAGTAAGATCAGCTTGACACGGAACAAACATATCCATTTGGGGTAAGTCATCAAAGAAAACTGATGATTTTATAAAGCAGGAATCACCTCAGAGCGAGATCGATCATGCACAAACTGATTCACTATTTGTTTGAACAATGGTTCAACAGCATCAGGTGGAACCTAGTCAAGAAAATCTATTAGCTGCGGCAAAACTAAATTGATTAAAACTATAGAGCATGGTAATGAACAAGTGGACAGAAATAAGATCACATACCATGTCATGGCAAGCCTGAACAGCTGCTGCAAGTAAACTTGTTACATCACGTTGATGGGACTGAAAACAGCAAGAGCAGATGCATGATCATTCAGAGAGAACTAAAAAAAATATCTTAAAAGCTGAAGGAAAAAAATGACAAAAAACCTGCACATATTTCTGAAAGTAAGGATATAGGTTCAGCAGAATTAAGCGATGAAGACCAACAGTTCGTGCAATGACTTTCAGCATCATCATTTTCACCTGTAGCATTGAAAAGCCCAAAAAGTAAAAATAGTAGAGTTCTGCAGGATGATATGCTTTGACAAGAAGATGATCTGGAGAACTAGGGACAAAGAAAACAACCTCAAACCTTTCATTAGTAGTTTGAAGGCGTGAGAACAGCTTCTCAGCAAATCCCTGTAATAATTTTTATAGATACCTTAGTTTATACGATAATGGGAATGAGTGGTTTAGGGAAGAAACAGAATAGCCTACCAACCTGTGCATCTTTCAAGTGGTTTAGTGGTGAATAGTAACTTGAATTGTTCTTCTCTGATGACATGCGTTGCTGCTTCTTCATGCTACGCATGACACGCTGCAATTTTGCTTGCTTTTTCTTTTTGCTGGATGAGGTACCTTTATGTTTTGCCTAAACAAACAAAGTAGAATAAAAAGATGCTCTTGATTTTGGTGAAATTCATTAGCACAAGTTGCTGAAACTCTCAAGGAAACAGTATCACAATTCTTTCTTCACTAGATAGAACACAAGAAACCAAGAACATGAAGCCAAAAGTGTTCCCTACAGAAGGCTTTAAAGATCCCTGCAAGAATTTTTGTAGTACTCCACATTAATAATTAACTACACTTCCTCTCCTAGAAGTCGCAACAGCCATTTTTCTGCATCTCTAATCCAGATGGCATACAAAGTTATATCAATCTTGATCAAGGGAACAGAATTTGTAAGTTTAGTAAATCCTATGGTATGGAAAAGGCAGCATCAGCAACTAATAGTATACGATGGGGGTTTCTTAATGAAATTGACCAGGAAAAGATCAGAAAGCCTAAATAGAGCAACTGACCTTGTAGACGACCTCTTTACTAAGCACTATCTGAGGCTGTTGGGTTGCCTGCTCATCTTCATTGCCTGAATCATCACTATTATCATCATCTTCAATCTTCTCATAATCAAGAAGGAATGAGAGGGTAGCAATCATGATCCTGAATAATCAAATACATGAAGAAGTACCTCAATGCAATTAGGTGGATCAGCAGTCTAGTATCTATCAACAACACTCACCTCGGTGATGTATGAAAGCATGCAGTACAAATAGCATTAGCAGTCCTGTCATCAAACCACACCTTCCTCCGGTGAAGATCACAAAGTGTAATGAGTGATCTCTTTGCTTTTGTTTCATCCTCTTGCTTTCACATTGAGACAAAATTTAGACACCAAACATAACCATGATAAACAGACCTAGCATGACAGTAAAGAAGAAAGACGTTAACAAACCTGAAGCATAGAAAACAAGATATTCTGAAGTCCACGATTCTTTGGATCATTCTTGTGCTTTTGATTCATATGCCTAATGTTATGAATAATGTGTGAAAATGCCAATGTCCTCAGAGTCCTGTCACCTAGAGTCTGAAGCTCCATGAATAGTTCCAGTATGTCCACAATGTCAACCATCTAACAAGTATGAAATTCCCATTAATACTCGAACTGAACTGCAGAGGAAATTGAAGAGATTACCAGGATATAAATATTTTTGTTGACGTCCTTGCACAGTTCTTTCTTTTTATTCAAGTGTCAACTTCAATTATGCATGAAAGCCGGATCACTAAGTACTAAGAAAACAAGGAAGCGGATTCAATCCTTCCATTGAAAAATGCTGTGGGAGGGGAAGGATTAAAATTTTACAAGTGAAAAAATTATTCCATTTCTCAGGACAAAGAATGGTAAGCACTACACAATGTCCGGAAAAACCTGCAACTTTACAGCCAAGCAGAGAAAAGAGTATGATAAGTAAATATGTAATTTCATGTGCCACCAGAAAACCAAAAATTACACTTTAGACACTCAGGACTATCTTTTCCATAGGCGCCATTAGTAAACTGAGCCCTCCGGCTATAAGAAGCTAAAACAAGGCACTCCCCACTTCAGCTTTTCTCAATCACCAGCAAATGACCAAGTAGGAATTATGGTTAGACGCTTCAACACTTCATTTCACTCAATCAAACGACTGATCCATAAGTCTCTCCAGAAAGGAGAAATTGAACAAAGAAAAGCATTTGGAGTGCAATTCTTTATAATCCATTCAATCCCTCCATAATCTCCATAAGCTAGTCAGCATGACAAAATTACTAAAATATATGTATTCCTTGGCAACCAAAGAGAGCAATATTTATTCGAAATCCTCCCGCCCCCCTCTTATTACCCCGTCCAAAGAGAAAACAGAAACGAAATCCTCAGCAGAGGCAAGCTTACTCTTTTAACAACAAAAGCTTTACAACTACATACAAAAACGAATGAAAAACCAATTAATTGGGTTGTTAATCTTTTAACAACCCAATTCCTTTCTTAACCCACCACATATTTCCTCAATCTGTTAAACGAAAAACCAATTAATGAAAACCTTTGATATCTACTAAAAAGGTAAAAACACCTTAATTCGAAAAAAAAAAAAAAAAGCAGCTAACCATCCCAGAATAATAACCTTTCTGTTAATCAAGAGAATCAGGGCCTGGGTGACATGAACTCGAAGACCTGACGGAAGAGTCCGGGCCGACGACCGAAGAAACTGCGCAAGCTCCCTGGGAAATTGGGCCAAGTGTTTTGGATAAAAGGGTGTGACATGGGCCAAGAACAATGCCCGGTCACCCAAATCCTTGGCGACGGTGGGGTCGGCGGCGATGCCACTTACAGAGGTAAAGCTCATCGCAGCCTGCTGCTGGAAAAGCTCCATGGACGATTTGAACTGATTGTAGATCAAATGGAGCTCCATTTCGTAGCCTTCTGGGTCGGACTTCATTTTGGACTGTAAAGCAGGCAAGTTAAGCTTCTCTGCATCCTTTCCCGATGCTGTTATAGCCTCTGGATTCAAGTCCGGCAACAACGAAGCCGGTGCTGACGCCATATGCGATAATCGTCCCGAAAAGATGGAGACTTCAGCCAAACCCAACTAAAACCCTAAAGAGGGTATTACTGCTGGATTTCCTTTTATAGTTAGAGTTGTAACGTTAGGTGCTGTTTACTAGGTTGGGTTTTGGGGGAGTAGGGGTAATTTGGTCTTAAAAATACAAGTAGTTAAAGCACGCGGGGATAAACGGCCCTGGCTGCGCCTTTACATGTAGCCCGTTCTGGCAGACTGCCTGACTTTATTTTACTATCATGTTATTTGATTCATTCTCTTCTATAGTAATATGCTAGTGAAGTTGCTGCCTAGAAGTGCTGTGGTTTCCGCGGCGAAAAGGGATGTTCATTCTGGTTTGGTGGCAGCTAATTCTAAGGTAATCTATGTTTCTTGATTCCTCCCATGGAATTCTGCTTCAGCATATTTTTATATGGCTTGAGAACTTTAATAAGCTTTGGGGGGTGGCAGACAAATTAGTGGATTTCGCCTAAACAGTAATAGTTTTCGCCTAAATATGATTCTTTAGAAATATGATATATTTGGTTGTTTTTAGAAATATGATATATTTGGTTGTTTTTTAGACCGAATTACGGAGCGACTTTGATTTAACTTTCCTGCAACGAGAAATTAAGCTTGGTTTATACTAGTTAATGTTCTTCTGTTTTAGGAGAATTCCGTATTGAAGTTATCTACTGTCGAGTTTGTGTCAAAGTTGCTTGACCGAAGATGGGCGTTGAGGATCCCAGACGCTCAAATTCACCAAGTTATGGTATGTGGGAGTGGAAGATTTAAACAGCAGGGCAGTGAAGTATTGGAGTTTAGAAATAATTCAGGACCGTCTCTGGGGGATAGTATGGCGGCGAGGAACCTCGGGCAGCCAGTATTTTATGTTGTGAGGGATGATTTGCTGCATCCTTTGGTGAATGGTAACAAGGCTCGCAAGTTGGATGCTTTGCTTCCTTTGCTGGAGGATAACTCGGTGACTGATGTGGTAAGATCTTTTTCCTTTTTCAGGGCATATTTAGTAGTGCTTTGCAGGTCTCTATCTCAGCTCCTTGGTTACTACTGATTTTCCTAGATGTTTTTGATCCGACATTTCTTGCCCTTTCTTGGTCATTAGTTTGACACTGAGGAGAGGATGCATGTCGATTGGTTTTTCAGAGTACCATCGAGGCAGCAAACTGCCTGCCCAGTAACATTAACTTCTGTATTCTTGTTACACTTGTATGATTCATTACAATTTTTTCCAATTGGGTGGAGGGGAAGAGAAATGTACTCGTATGTTTGTCACCTCCTTTTGCCTTTGGAACTCGTTGGCTATCTCGTGTGATGCAGTATATTGAAAGCAGAATTAAAATGTCAAATGATATCCAATGGGCCGTTCTAGGTTACTTGTGGAGGCTGTCAAAGTGCGCATGCTGCAGCTGTTGGTATGTAATGTCACATTTAAAATGGGACATTTCCCTTGTCATATTAATTATCCCATGGATTGGATTGATATGGAGATGTTTTGCTAGTCTCTTGTTTTGAATAAAAACATGATGCTGCTGTAATGTATTGATCCATATTATGCAGCTGTTTCATGTGCCGAACGGGGACTGAAGACGCATCTGCTTCTTCGAGGGGAACAGCCTGAAATTCTAACCGGTTATACTCTGATTTCCACACTTTATGGAAACATAAATTACGTTGCAAGATCTTTATATGCCAGAAGGGATGAAATTCTTTCAAGGCATGCTAATATGATAGCTGGCAGTCATGGATCTGTCCAGTGGCTTAGTGATTTGCTGGAGCCAGCTGCCTTCGTCTATCATGTGCCTCCGAAGCAGATCGTTTCACAACTAGATGACTCCAGCAACACAATGAATAAGAAAGTTATGATCATCAACGAAGGTGCGGGCGATGCTGCAGCCTTGTTAGGTACTTGTCCAGTGTATTTCTTTGCAGCTAATGCTGCTGCACTTTCAGACACACAGTTATCTTCATAAATTTCAGACACAGTTAATGTTGCCTTACTGTTCCTTTTCCTCCAGACGTCGAGTGAAATGCAAACCGTTTAATTTAGTTGCAGTGGCATTAACGCATATAGTTCCTTGTAAGGTGTTATACGGCTGGTGCAGTATTTATCCCAGGATCATTTATTTGGAAAAGTTCAGGGTGTCAAGATGATTGTAGATGCAGGAACAGGGACGACTGCAGTTGGCCTGGGACTGGGAGCTTTGTGTTTAGGGTATGGGCCACCTTCTTTCATTCTTGCTAGTTCTCTCATATGAGCATATCATATCTCCCTTGGCTTTGGTTGTATTAGCTCTTGTATTCATTGAGATGGTCAAGAACTTTTGGTTCCACACAATTTTGTAGCCCGCATGGATTGTACATTGAAATATACCACGTGATCTTTTATGTCAGGCTCCCATGGGAGGTGCATGCCGTGATGCTTGCAGATAGTGTTGAAGGATACAGAAAAAAAGAGCAAAGTTTGATTTCTGAATTTCGTAAAATGTGTGAATCCCCAGAAATTGACCTTAGATTGAACGGAGCAAAGTATGAAGTCGTGCATTGGGTCGAACGCAATCGTCCAAGAAAGTAATTTCATCTCATACTTGCATATATGAGACCTAATCCGGAATTGTTTTGATTTGATAATCTGTGAACTTTGTGGGATAGCTAGCTACACATAATTTGCTTGCTTATGGCTGAGACCTTAAAAACTAGGGTAGATATTTGACTCTCAATCCCTAAATTTTTTTGGCTCTTAGATTTGGCAATGTATTGAAAGGGGAAGTTGAAGAATGCCAGAGAATTGCCCAACAAACTGGAATTTTAGTTGATCCCATCTACACATTAGCTGCTTGGGAACTAGCCGCCCAACTGAGTCAGGAGCAAGGAGCGAGTGCAGGCGTGGTGGCGCTGCTTCACACAGGAGGCACGCTAGGAATATTTGGGCTGGCACAGAGGTATAAACCTCACTTCCAAAATCTGAAAGCTCATTAGGATGGCAATGGATCTTTTGTAGGTCCGATCAGACTGGATATTTTTCTGTAACACGCTCTGTAGGCCGAGGCCCATTCTAAACTCTGTGTCATCTGGGCCGCGGAACACGTTCCGTTTGCCCGAAGTTAGTGGAAGGAATACTGGTTTATGGAAGAGTACATTTTATTATTTCACTTCAAAATATGAACTATAAATTAGTAAGTGTTTGCAAGCACAGGAAAGTCCTCCTTGCCAAACCCAATCCCTTTTCCATCTCAAGTTGAAGCCTTCCTTGTTCTGGTTTGCTGTGGAAAATTGCTAACCTTTTTTGAGTTCAAAAGAGAAGGGGAAACTGGACACACACACAAAACACAAACGAGTATGTTGGGTCAAAAAAAAAAAAAAAATTAGGCCAGATATAAAAATAGTTGATAAGATAAAAAATAAAGATTCAAAATTGCGCTTATGATATAACCATTTTTTCCCTAAGAAATAGGCAATCCTAACACATTAAAAAAACCTTTAAAATGAAAATCAAAGAATCATAATATATTACTTGAGAAACCCTTGATTAATTTAGGAGTTAAAATTGAGATCTCAAAACTTAAAAAGTCTTGGGTTCATGTCCTCTTCCTCCTTTCCACAACTTATAAATCTCATCACTTGGCTGGTATGAGTTTGTTTGAATAAGAGTTTATTTGGATGATTTATTTGAAATATTTACTGTAACATTTTTTGTGATGTGATGTATGTCAGATAAAAAGGTGATTGGAAAGATAAAAAGGTAATTGAAATGTGTGAGAATAAATTTTGCAAACCAAATTATCTTCATCCAAACAAACTCATAGATTTTGTCTTGCTCCACGCAGTCGATTCAATAATTGATCTTTCCAAAATTTGAAAATGATGCTGTTATCAAGGCAACGCCATCCCCAAAGTGAACATAACTAAGCTACTGTAGTAGTCTATTTGTTAGAACATACTGTAACTATAAGCTGTAGTATAATGGACTTGGAACATTGGAAGAAGCCTTTCATTTCCAGGGACTTGGGAATTGGAAACTTCTCCGATGCTTATAATTCAGCAACTAAACATGCATATGGTGGCGGTGGTTGGCAGCAGCAGCAGCTTCTCGTAAGCTTTTGAACCACCCACCACCAAGCATGCATTAGTCTGCTGTTTAAGCAGCCGCAGCTGCCGCCGCCGCCAACAGGCAACAGAATTCCTGGTAACAAGGGTGGGGGGAAGCCAGCAAACCAGGATGGTTCGTCGGAGCTGGACCCCACTCCATTCTTGTCTCATTTGAGTGTGTGTTCTATATATTTCCACCCCCACGTATCCATGGAGCTTAATAACATCACCTTCCACTTCTTGGTGCATTTCTAAAGTTTTTCATTAACACAAAAGTAAAACAAGTACTACTATATTCAATTTTTGAAATATGAAAGAGTTGGCGTGAAGAGAATCTAGCATTACCCACCAGAGCGTTGAAAAAAAAAAAAAGGAATCCTAGTTTATATTTAGCTATAATTGTGAAAAACTTGCTGATGTAACAATTTCCTAGTAAGATGTGGATGAATGTCTGTATAATACAATTGATGATTATTGCCTGGGAGGATAATCCATAGCATATAGTAGTAGCAGTAGTAGTAGGAAAGGGTAGTCTGAGTTCATCAGCCGACCACTCTCCGCTACTGGGACAAGGAGCTGGTGGTTGTGTTGTTGGACCCTGACTGACACAGGAACCTGGATGGATGGATGGATGTCCTCTGAGAGAAAGAGAGAAACCACTGGGCCAATGACTAAGCAGCTACTGGGAGGACTTAAGTTCTCTTGGACGCGGTTGATGAGGATTCAAATCTCATCAGAAGTAAAAAAACTTTAAGAATTATGTCATAATACTTCCTTAATTTAGTTGGATATGTATACCTATTAGCCTCTGCATCAGCCTTTTTAGGTTCTCACTTCTCATAGATTAGGATAGAATAGGTTATACAAATGTACCGTTGTTGACAAAAAAAAAAAAAAAAGAGAGAGAGAGAGAGAGGGGGGAGGGCGCGGGCGGGAGGAAAATGGAGGGAGAGACATCACTGTCGCATACTTTTTTTTTTTTGATGTCACAAAAAGGAAGCAAGATTAGATTAGGCTTC